GTCCGTTTATACAAAACTGAGAACCCTTTGGCCAATGATGCTCCTGACCAAGCTTCAGACTGCATTTGGTTTAAATCCCTTCACTTGTATAGTAGGAGAGAAAAAATCCTCTACTTCCCCTATTTGGCCCCACCCCTCTGTCCCAAAGAGGCCACACCCTCCGTTTATACAAACTTGAGTCTCCTTTGTCCAAAGATGCTCTAGGACAAATTTGGTCAAAATCCTTTTATTGGTTGAGAAGAAGAAGATTTTTAAAGATTTACCTATTTTCCCCCTATTTGGCCCCGCCCCTCTGCCCCCAGGGGGGTTATACCCTCCGTTTATACAAATCTGAGAACCCTTTGGCCAATAATGCTCCTGACCAAATTTGGTCAAAATCCTCTGAGCCATTCAGGACAAGTAGCATTTTAAAGGAAAAAGTTGCCGGACGCCGGACGCTGACCATGGGATAAGCTCACTTGGCCCTTCGGGCCAGGTGAGCTAATGAACTATTCCAACCTTTGATTTGGAAGACTTCAAATGTGTCTTCAGGGGTGAATTTAATGAGTTAAGTAAGAGCTATGTAAGAGAAATCACTGGGAAAGCAATTTGGGGGCAAAATTATGTCGAGGAATTCAATTACCATTCTACACATGTACACTGTCACTTGTTGTGTTTAACTCATTCACCCCTGAAATTTCATAATGGACTATTCCAACCTTTGAATTGGAGGAGTTTAAATGTGTCTTCAGGGGTGAATGAGTTAACATATATTGTATGCATATCTATTTTACATTGGTTTCTATAGAATTTTTCAGGCAAGTCCTGAATATCTCTTTCAAAATTTTGGTGAGAGATATTGGGAGTCCTCAAAAAGTTGTAAGTCCAATAGGGAAAAACATGAGTCAGACTCCAAACTAACTACATACTGTGCTAAAAAAAGAGTGAAACTAGTTTAATGTTAGCATTTCTGTATTCTAACAAACTTATAATTAAGAACTTTCCACCCTGCGTAATAAACTTGTTTTTCTTGTCGTATTTTCATGTCATCAACATAGGTACAGTACAATTGTGCTTGGTGATGATATGTTCAATTTCGACTTTGAGACATTACTGCAAAATGTTTATGCATTATGATTCAACGAACAAATGACAACTGCTTCATGCAACGATCTATCATACATTAAAAATAAAGCTTCCGATACAAACACGCAGATTTGACTCACAGGAAGACATTGACATGCATGAGGTCACATGACTTGGACAAGGTCATAATTTCCACGTGTATGGAATGAAGACAGATGTTTTGTACCAGCCTCACATGTTCACGTCACGTTTATACACCAGCGCACAACAGCTATTTTTTACGTTACGTGCGCAAACTCTGTAAATATAGTGTTTTGTTAAATATCAAGATCCCAATGTGCGGTGGAGGTGAGATTTGAGAAAGATCCCTCTAGCACTTTCTGGGAAATAAAGCTAACAAGAATTGTTTTAGGACGGATGACAGACCACGGACGCAGGGTGATTTGAATACTGCCTACTATCTGATGATGGTGGGCTAAAAAGGGAAAACATGAAAATTGACGAAAACTGTTTAGGGTATTTTTTCCCCAAAGAAATCCAACTTCATTGGAGTTTCTGTAAATCTAAATGCAATATGCCTGTAAGTGCAGCCTCCTTAATGGCCCCCAGTCAATCATTTACCCTTCACCAGCAATCTTTTGTTGGCCAAGTTTTGAGTTTGCCATTCAATATGATTACAATATAGAGGGTAAACTGTTTACTAATATTAACTGTTGTGATAAATTTACCCTGATGTGTTGCAAGACTGGCAATCCATAGTCCCCCACCAATAATAATTTCTTAATTTACTGAGAAGTACACCTATCTCATGACATAGGACGTCACAGTGACCTACTTCTTGTACTTTGCCGAATCTGGTTACTGTAGGTGAAATACTATAAATGATCTCCCCCTATGCCCGGGACAAACATTTTTAAATGTTGAATTCAAAGTAAAAGGTCAAACCACAGGTAACAGTGACCTACTTTTTGACACTCCAAATTGCATACAAAAATCTGGTTACCCCAGGTGAAATAGTATAGAAGATATATGTATTATACAGTTATATTATTGTATGGGTGTGAGCTCGAGGTAAATAGCACTTTTATTGTACCCTGATCATATCATGAGACATCAACTATCTCCCGAGGCGAAGCCGAGGGAATAAGTTAATGTCAAGGGGGACAATAAAAGTGCTATTTCCCTAGATACCCATAAAATAACTGTTTTATTTTACCAACAACAAAATTATTCCATTTCTTTTGTAACAATGTCCAATCAGAATGAACGAAGCTAAAAATTCTGCGAAAAATTTGAATGCAGGTTAAATATAAAAAGCTCATTCCGGGTAAATAGCTCTAATGACTATTTACCTGGCAAATTTTAAGTTTCT